GGTCGGTCGAGGACGAAGAAATCCTGCGAAGAATGTCCCCACTCGGCTTCGAGCACGAGCTCATAGATGGCATCGCGAATTTCGAGTGGTACCGACAGCAGCGGCGTGTGATTCGGACTTGGAGGACCCGGAGCCATTATAAAGAGCGTGGTTCTTTAAGTCCAAAAGCGCAGCGGCAAACCGATGCTGAGCAGAGAGAGCAGCCCTCGAGTGTGGGAAACCAGGTAGCGTGAGCCGCCTCCGACTCGAAACCCAAAATAGATCGAGGATTTCCTTTAGGTATCGAGTCTCTCTCTATCTGGGTTTACCAGGTTTACGATAATGCACCGGCCAAGACACCAAGGAATCCTGGGCGGAGATGAGGATCGACTTTTGCGGAATGGATCCAATGGGATGGGTGAATGGCGGTAATGTGTCACAGAGCATGCATCCCAGTCACAAAGAACCAATCTCCATGTGTGCTGGACGGGGCAGCTTTGGGGGACACTGCCCTATCGAGCTGCATTGTGCCAGGCAGCAGAACCACGGGGTTACAGTTGGTTACCCCACACCCCGGCATGACGCGCACGCACAAGGGTTAGATGCATAATATCGGTACAACGAAACGGATGTTTCACGAACAGGTCAGCCGTTAGGTAACCGTTTGATCACTTACACAAGGCGACTGACTGTATACAGCTCAAGGTCCCTCAGCTTTGTTATGATCAAGAGCCCCGTGCAGCACAGCCACTCGAGTCATCCTCTAGCATAGCCTTCTTATGCACAGCCTTCGAAAAGCTGTCAAATGAACGATTATAAGCAACGCTGTTTGCGATTTGTTAATTTTGGCGAAAAGACCATGTATGGGAGGTGCTGACTTCTGTGGCGTCAGGATGGTCGGCAAAAAGGCCTGTCAACATGATGAGTTGCTACTGGAGTGCTGCCCATGGGCTGTGGAGGCTGGATTTGAGCGACCCAACGCCGCGAAAAGGCTTGCCGCGACAACAACAAGCGGCCGTAATCCTCTTTCAGTGAGAGGAAAGCCAGCGAAGACAGCGAAGAAGCTGAGCCAGGAGGCGGCGGAACAGCTCTCAGCCTCGTTTCCTGGCCCCCTTCTGCTGCCCAAGGATGAGCTGAATTGGGACCCCGACTGCCCACCCCAGTCGTTTCGATCCTGGCTCCTTGAGCCTGCGCGGAATAAGATCACGCCAGAGCGCAGGACTCTTTATGTTGCTGCACCACCCATCGTCACGCCGGGTGTTAGCTTCATGAATACCTGGGCACAACCCGCAACGATAACGCCCCAAAATAAGCTTGACGATCTCGATCCGCCATCGGCCGACGCGTTCCTACAGTACCTCAGTGCGTTCTACCATGGCATCCCCGTCAAGCTCTTGCCAGAACAGTTGCGCTTTGTGCCGTGGGCGGGGCCCTCGCAGCGCACCCGGTCAAGACACAGATATGTTGGACTTGCGCGCAATGACTTGTGCACCCGCATCCGGGTCCGGGAAACTCCCGACAAGAAGTTTAAGAGTCAGTTGAACTTGAACGATATTCTTGATGCGGCTATTGAGATGCTGCCCGACGATGCGTACTCGATAGTTTTGCTCATGAACATCGACATGTACGAGGATGACGATGATGATTTCTGCTGCGGACGGGCCTACGGTGGGAGTCGCGTTTGCGTCGTGTCCTCGGCTCGGTACCATCCAGCCCTCGATGCGGACGAGAACATCGACCATGCTCACATGTGGCCGGCTTCGCACTGCAAGGAGTTCGCCGACAACCTATGTGCCGTAGAAGGACTCGAGCCACAAGAACACATAAAATCGGTGCACGAGACTCCAGACTCACCACTTCAGCAGGCCGTCGCAGCAACCCGGAACGTCTATACATTGTCAACTATCGAAGGTCAAAGTGGCCTATGGTTCTCACGTGTTGCCCGCACGTTAGTCCATGAACTCGGGCACTGTTTTGGAATGGGCCATTGCATCTATTACGCTTGCAACATGCAAGGTACCTCCGGCATCGCAGAAGACGTGAGGCAACCACCATACCTATGTCCTGTGTGCTTGGAAAAGGCGGCTCACGCCATCGCCTGCGAACTCCAGGCGCGAGATCAAACAGGCAAAGAGGAATACATAAAGGAGAGATATAGAGCTATCGCTGAGTTCTGTGAGACTTGGAAGCACGTTGATCTCTTTGCTGCGTACAGTGCTTGGATACGGGCGCGACTCCAACAACTCTCGGTCTAGACTGATGGAGGAAAGATCAGCCAGCGCATATTTCCAATTGCGGTATAGGTGCCGGGCGGCACGCATCCGAGGGCACTCTGTTTCTCGGGACTGCAACATTTACGGTACAGTAGGGAGCAAGAGGCGCAGGTGTAATGCATGTGCTTGTCACAATTAGGAAATGTCCTTCAGCTGCGTCTTTTCCTTTTTTCTGTATTTAATATCGGCTCCTCTTTGCAATTTCGGAAATATCCGTGATAAAATGGTCCGCGCTATTGCTTGAACTTTGTATTGGTTTGGCGTATAGGTAGGTATCTTCAACGCCGGAGATGGACCACCACTGGAAGTATATAAGCCATATGAGATGTCCGGGACACTCTAGGTCACTCGCATATTCGTCTCTGCGCGTGCTACCGGTATGGTTGAGGCGAGGCTAAAGATATTTGGCCAACCGACCCGAAAAGGCAGCACCGAAGACGCCAAGCGCAATAAATGCAGGCCCGACCCGTACGTAGATCCGTCAGCTCTCGTGTCTCGCCGTTATTCGCGAGAGCGTTCCTACTGAGATCCTTTCCAGATCCTACGGTACCAATCCCCCACCGCACGGGCCGTATCCCGGCCTCTACCAGCCAGTGAGCAATCCCGCCGTCTTTCATGATATTATCGATTTGATATATCGTACGATCCCAAGCAACCACCGGGGAATCAAGACCGAGGGAAATGGAGAACGGGCAGCTTGACGGCTCCACCATCGGAGAGCCGAGGGCAAGCGGAATAAAGAACGGAGAGCTTACCGGCTTCACCACCGGGCTCACGGCTGATGAGCAGAAACGCTTTCAGTCGTTTGTTGAGCAATGTCGCGACCACGGGCTCCTCCAGCGTCCTGCCGGGTTGTCAGCCGAGGATACTTTGGATGGCTTGAGCGATGAGGTCACCCTATTGTACGAAGCCTTACCCTACCATTGCACCATAACCAAACACTAATATCTTCTCAGGAGGTTCCTTTACGCTCGCGCGTTCGACGTGCCAGGAGCGCTCCAGCAGTTTAAAGAAGCCCAGGCAATCCGAAGCTCTGTAAATACGGCCGAAGCATACAGCACCATCGACATCGACGACTTCGAGCACTTGCGTGGTATTGTGTGTAGTCATAGTTCCCTTATCTACTGGCTCTGATCGTCTTAACGCCTCACCATCTTAAACTGGAGAAAACTGACACCCCGAATTACTAGTATCCCCATTGGTCAGGTCATCGGACCAAATACGGCCTCCCAATATGCACTCTTGACGCGGCCAACCGTAAGTAGTTTTGCGGGTTATCCCGCATGTTCTAGTCTAGTAATACCCAAAAGTGGAAATCGCCTGCTGGGTCTAGCATCTTGTCCAAAGATCTTCCCGCTCGTCTGAATGTTTACAGATTACGTCTAAAACGGTGATTACTAACACGAGTTTTGCAGTGGACGGGCCAAACTTTGCAAAATTTTACACCTACACCCCGTCGCAAGTTACGTGCCGCGCAATCACGTCGATCGACTACCTAACACGTTTCGTGCTGCCTCTCTGCTCCGCGATGGCGGACCGGCCTGATCCGGACCAGCCAGTTTCCCGAGCGATATACCTCGTCGACATAACTTACATAAGCCTCAGGCAGGCGTGGAATATACGAGGGTATGCGCAGAGTATTACGGGGTTATTGGCGACATGTTACCCAGAGGTCGTAGACAAGATCTACGTTGTAAATGCCCCGCCGTATTTTCCTAAGATTTGGTCTCTCATCAAGGGCTGGATTGATCCGAACACGGCGGCGAAACTGGTTATAGTACCGCCGGCGGATGTTTTGACCACCCTCTTAGAAACGATCGACATCGAGTGTATACCAGAGCGGTACGGTGGACAGTCAAAAGCCGAGAATGGATTGGTACCGAGCGTTGACGGCTTGAAAGACCTATTGGGTATCGAGGAATTACCGGATGGGCCGATTAAATGGACTGTCGACCAAGGGAGCCGGACTGCGGTCGCGGTCGGCGCGAGGGGAGGGGAGGCTCGCAAGGAGTTTTTAGGGTCCGTTGGTGTCAAGCCAGCTTTGTAATGCATATAGATGGCGTTAGGATACTTCGGAGGGTTCTCGTCGATAATGCGAGCTAATAGAGTTGTCGTTTTAGACCCATAGGTGCAAAACTTCGGGTTTCTTTTGACGGGGTAAGAGACCACATCCATCTAGTTAGGTACTGTGGTCATTGATGAGTAGTGTGTAATTAATAAAGACATCTCGATTTCCAAGGTCAGTCTCTCATAAATCGCGATGATTTTCACTCTATCATTGTTCTTTATGCATAGTTATCCTGAATAAACCGGGTAGTTCATGTTGGTCTAAGACCTGCACCCTGCGCCAGCACGCCGGAACAGATGAGACAAGCCGAGATCGCCCTCATGCCTCCGGGGACATTTCACGTAGTTAACATTGTCGCGCCAAGAAGTAATAAAAAAATAAGAGATCCCAGGTCCACCACATAAAAGTGAATATAAGTAGACGGGTGCAATTATAACAAGACTTCAGAAACCACATCTATTAGGAGTGCATATGCAGAGATGTTATTAAGTGGAGGTGGTAAGTAGCATTGTTACAGAACGTGTAAAGAGCAGTGTTAAAAACATCTACACCCCTTACCCCTTACGCGCAAAATCTCATTCACTAGATTGCGGCCTAAAAAGCTACCTGAAAATGAGGGCTAAGCAGAATTTGTAACGTAAATTCCAACATGCACAAAGAACAAAAATAGGAAAAGTAAACTCTCGATCGGGGAATCGAACCCCGGCCACCTGCGATTTATTCTACGACAAATGACAAGCAGGTATCCTGACCACTAGACCAATCGAGATTGTAAGGACGGATGATTCTTATTGGAAGCATTTGGTAAAGTGGTAATATGTCAGAGAGCAGGGGTCATGGTGGAGTTCCTCGGGCTGCAGATCGATCCCCTAGCTGGATGAACAACTTCTGGGGGTAGCACATAGAGAAATGCGAGCTGATAGATAGTGGGCAGCTTCTTGACGTTGCGGTTTATAGTAGGTGCGTCATCGTTACTACCTACATAGGTAGGGTATAGTATCACCGAGCGCAGCCACCGAGCCTGGAATTATCCCCGCTCGGAGTTACGCGCTATGCCTCGGGGCGGCAAATCGATATTGGCTACCTACTGTAGCGTGAATTATAGGGGGACCACAAGCCTTATGGATTCCACAAGGCTTCCCTATAATATTATCCTTCTAACCTGGAGAAGGCTTGTGGATTTCGGAAGGCTTGTGAAATCCAGAAGGCTTGTGAACCCCTATAACTGCCCTATATTTTACTACTATTAGGCACTAAAAATATATGCTAAATTATAGTGTATTACTACCTCTACTGCCCTAATATACATAGAAATCTAACAGCCGCCCTTTATAACAGCCCTTTATAACAGCCCTTGCCTACAGCCCTTGCCTACAGCCCTTGCTAACAGCCCTGCCAATAGCCCTCGCTTCAATTTATCGTTTTGTATGTAGGTAGGTAGGTCGTAGTTTTAGCTGTATATACGACTGCACTATTTGTTAGCAGCTGTAAAACGGGTGCGTGGGCGACTTGCCTGGCGTATGTACGTATACCCTTGTATACCTAGGTAGAGCTAGGTACGTCCGGGCGAAGCAACTTGGCCGGCTATATTGCATATAATTGGCTGTCGCTTTATACGGTATGCACTAAGGCTAGTAGTAGTAGTGTGGCCGCTGGTTAAGGTAAGGTAGGTGTAGGTGTATGTGTGTGGGTGTATGTGTGTGGGTGTATGTGTGTGGGTGTATGTGTGTGGGTGTATGTGTGTGGGTGTATGTGTGTGGGTGTATGTGTGTAGGTATATGTATATATGGGTGTATGTATGTGGGTATATATGTGTAGGTTAACTAGGATAGGTTGGGTTGGGTTAGCAAGGATGGGCAACGTAAATTTTTCTAAGTTCAACTTCGTACGCTTTGTTAGTAAGCACGAACGCTTCGTAACTGCAGTAAGTTGATTAAACGTACTTAAATTTAGCTGTAGCGCAATAGCATTTGTTAAATAGTAGTTGTAGTAATTTGAAAGCCTAAGACTATAGTTGTACAGCCCTGAACCACTTGCGGATGTATTTCTATACCTAAATTTACCCTAGAACTACTTGCAAGGGAGGCTTGTGGATTTCGGAAGGCTTGTGAATTTGGGAAGGCTTGTTGCCCTTCCAGAAGGGTTAGAAGCCTTCCGGCCCCCCCTCAATCTCCCACTACAGTAAGTACAGTACTGTAGGTGCCTATATAACCGAGCGGCCTCGCCATATTGTTACACGAGATAGATAGTTGAAGTCGGTCTTGGGTAGTTCCGAGTAGTAGATCTAATTCTCCGAGAAAGTTCGGTTGGTAGCTCAATTCTATCACATAGTAGGACGACCAACAGCATCAGAGACAGTAGTACTATGGAGGCTTAGGTCTACACACAATAGCGTTGTGGCCGCTCGCACCACAATCTATGGATGCCACACATAGCAATATAAAAGCCAGGCGTTTTCTCTCCCTCATTAGGAACATGAGCTCCTCACAAACTAACCGAATACCGAACTTTGCAATCCTTCTGCCTTCCGATACACTCACCCCTTTTCCGTCCGACACAGGACAAAATGGCCACCGACAACATTCGCCTCCGTGTAGCCATCGTGGGCTCTGGGATTGCTGGATTGGCCGCGGCCCGTATCCTACGGGAGAAACACGAAGTCACCGTATACGAGCGCGGGGATCCCTCCACCACAACCGTGGGTCAAGGCATTGCAAACTTTCCTAACTCGACGCACATCCTCCGCGATATGGGGTTCGACTATAAGCGCGTAGGCTCCGTCGAGCTTGGAGGCTGGAGAACCGTCGATAAATATGGAAAGTATCTCCATGGCACAGATTTCAATATGAAAGAACGATATGGCTCTCCCCTCGTGAGCCACATGCGTGTCGACGTTCGCACAGAACTGCTGAGGCTGGCCACAGCCTCCCCTGGAGAATTGGGTCTTGATGCAAGCGCGACCCCTGCAGTTATGGTGTGGAATAATGGGGCTGTCGACCTCGATGCTGAAACTGGGAGAATCACGTTCGAGGATGGCTCTACGGTTGAGGCAGATGTTGTCATAGGTAAGCGAGAATCTAGTCATTCTCCCTCTAACGCGTAGTGAGCGAAGAGCTAACGCGAAGCTATAGTTTCTGACGGTATCCATTCTCGACTGCGGAATAAGGTACTTGATGAGCCCAGGAGCGCTCAAAAGACAGGGTTGACGTGTTGTCGCGTCGCTGTATCAGCGGAGGCAGCCGAGAAGGCCCTTGGAAAGCTGCCGCAGTGGTGGGAAGACCAGCGTAAAGCAGGACAAGGCCACATGCATCTCGTCGAAGCACTGGATGGCACCTCGCGAATGATGGTGGCGTATCCACTTCGCGACTGCACTTGGATCAACATGTCATGGGTGTTTCAGACCCAAAAGGAGAGGGAGAGCACGACTCAATCGTGGAACGCAGATGGCGATCGCGATGAAATCCTAGAAATTTATGACGATTTTGATCACGCGTTCAGAACTTTGCTGCGGTGAGTAGGTGAGAATGCATTCGCATTGCAATTCTGTTTGCTGATGAAACTTAGTGTTGCCGCCGAAGTTAAGCTCTGGGAGCTCCAGGATCTTGAGCCCTTGCCGACCTGGACCTCCGGGCGTGCGATCCTCATTGGCGATGCTGCTCATGCGATGACACCTTTACAGGGCCAAGGTGAAGACTTACTATGGTGTGACATCTGATACGATGCTAATTCCAATGCGAATAGGGGCTAACATGGCTATCGAAGACGCTGACGGTCTTCGCCTCCTTACACTGCCCGGTGTCACACGGGGTAGTGTGCCCGAAATACTCAAGAAGATCGAAAGTGTCAGGAGGCCACGTGCCACGAAAGTGCTCATGAACACGCGCTCCACGTCCAGGATTTCTAGTCCGGCCGATAGATATGCGAACTTCGACGAGAATTGCAAATACCCTGGCATATTGAATATTCTCAAGCAACAGGTTACAGAAGCTTGAGGACCGCAGAGCGTGCCGGATGCACTGTCTGCAATGATGGCAAATGAAAAATTATTTGACTATCAATAGAAATTAGCTCGCGTTGGTAAAATACTTCTCGTCCTAATTACTATTCGGTTTTAGGGGAAATAGGCTGTAGTTTCTTCACTTTTTATAGAATCCGCGGCATGAAATCAGCCGGATTTATACATTTTTTCACATCATTTCTTTTATGATATCAAAAACAGTCAAATGGGGGCTGATAGATACGAGATAAATAACCCAAGGCTCGGCTACTATTACTTCTCAGTACGGCACGGCCCGTCTTTAGTGTATTTCCAGCGAGAAAGCCAGTGGCGGATCGCGATCAATAAAATGATGATGCTTCGACTGCTCAAATGGAGGTAATCTTAGCTGATGGATAGACGGGGGGCTAAACCAATGTATTCCAATATAGCTATAGAATATGTCGCCACTCACAAACGGCCCCGTCTTCCAACGGCCAAGGATCTGATGGTGGTCGAATTGTAGGCTAACGACCATCTGTTGGGCAGTTACAGTGTGCAAACCACTCGTGAGGAAGGTGTAGGACACAGACAGCATTTAGCTGGCTTCTGTACGGCCGTCTGGCCATCTTTTCTAATACATCAACACCACCCACTCCATTCCCTTTTTCCATCTAGGAGATTCCTTCGGGATGGGTCAAGCACCCAGCCAATAAACGCCCTTACTATAATCTGTCGATTCACCGGGCGTAAAAGTGACATATCCAATGCATGTTTAAAGTCAATTTATATACGTGGCATCTTTGGATCTGCCTCTGTACCCAGGGGCTATATTGCACGCAAATTATGAGCAATCTTAGACTTGGTGGTGGGCGATGCATTACCAAGCCCATAGTCATAGTGGAGGTGCGTACGTAGGCACTTGCGAGAGAGCTTGACTACTCATGATATACAGAACGGACGAGGAGAAAATATGGGGAATGAGATGGCATTGCCGTGAAGCTTATACTCCAGTATGACGAGATCTGAATGACACAGTTGACGTCATTATTTGCACCAATTGATTCATCAATTAGATGTACTAACAGTATGCCCACTGGCATGACCAACGGTCGGTTTTTCTTCTGATATTTGAAGATTAGCATGAAGGCTTTGGATGTGGTTCACGCTGTCGGATTTCTTTCAATCTTCAACTTTTAAGACGACGTATTAGTTTACGTTTGAACAGTCTACTCATAACTCAGATAACCATCATGAGTGATACAACTTATGTGGTCATGCCCATTCGGGGTGACGGTCCTCCTCAACAAGATTCCAATGAAGGTGAATACTCAGGTTCGTGAAGTATACGCCGCCGCAGCTCACATTCATCATCTTTAGTCGCTACTGCTATCGAGGAATCATTGCACGAGAAGCTACATCCAGAGGACCATCAAAGCCCGGAAGAAGGACCTCTGAAAAAGGCCATGGGTATGATGATTGAACTGGGAATATCGAGACTATATTGACGCACTATTAGCAAACTCCGACAGTCTTTACAAGTATATTTCTGTGAGTTGCAGGCTCTCAAGTTGCAGTTACGAATATGCGCCACTAATATACCCCAAAGTGGGAGGATCCAGTTCGTACCCTCACATCCTACTTCGGGTTTCTAGGGCTCCTGTATGGAGTGCACTACTTGCGCTGCACTCAATTGCTCTTGAAGATGGGTGCAACCGCCCTTGGAGGTATGTAGTAACATTCATATTGTCAATAGGAGAAGAAACACTGATCTGTTCTTTGTTAGTCATCTC